TGGGTGGGGACGAGCCGGTGAGGCCAGGGTGTGGCAGTAAGTCCCAGGGGCTAGTTCGCGAGAGGTGGCAATGGCTCCATGGCCACGGCTGCACTGGGCCCCGTGGGAAATCCTCCCTCAGCCCCTGCGCCAGGGCCGGGCTGCGGGTTTGCAGGGACGTTCCCCAGACGCCTGTGGAGACGCGGGGCCGGTCCTGCAGCGGCTGAGGGATTCGCCCCCCCCGGGCGAGCTCCGGCTCGTTAAATCGTCCCCCGCGCGGGAATCCAGACTGTGCCTGAGATTTGTCTCCTCCTAGCTCCCAAGCGGCCGGGGCGGCCCCAGCCCTCCCAGAGAGACCCGGCCCCTGCAAACGGCTGGGGACCAGCGGGGCCCAAACCGCAGCCTCTGGGATCGGAGACTGAGTGGAAACCTTTCACCACAAGCCAGATCCACATTCAGTGCGCCTGGCCTGTGCGCCCATGCCCTGCGACTTGGGTCCTTCGGACTACATCTCCCATGATGCACCAGGACTGCCTTTCTGACCCAGCTGTGTGGGGGGAGTGTCATGGTAGTCACATGACTTCAGGGCCAGGCTGGGCCCACCAGGCTCTCCATGCCATGCAATGGGTGTGGGGTCTGCTTGGTGCCAGCTGGGAGCCTGGGCTGCTCAGGAGCCAGGGTGGGTGGACCAGGGCTGCTCCCTCCTGCAAAAACCCTCTGACCCGGTGTGACGTTATTGGGTTTGTGACAGGGTCAGGCCAGGGGGCTGCTGCAGAGAGGGGACAAGGCAGCCCAAAAGGGTGAAAACCCCTGTGAGAAGAAGCAGAGAACTGCAGCCCAATTAGATGCAGCTGGGAGGGAGCTGGCTCAGGCAAACTAAGGCTTTTAAAAGCCTCGGCGGCTGGAGGCTGGGGGGGTGCGTGCGTGAGAGAGGATGAAAGGAAGGTGGTAGAGAGACAGAAAGGGAGAAACTGGAGAGAACAGTTGGGATCAGCACTAGGTAAACACAGCCAGGGAGGGAGCCTGAGGGCCCTAGCTGGGCTTCCTACCTTTGAGACCGGCTGCAAAACCCCAACCCCTGGGGCTAGGAGGAGGAGGAGGCCTACCCAAAGGGGCCCTTGCCACATGTGGTATCAGGGGTGGGATCTACGGCTGTGAGGCCTCACAGCAATCCTAAATCTGGCCAAGTGGCCCCTCGCGAAGGAGAAGCACCTATGGAGGACCTGGTAAAAGCACTGGTGCAGACCACGGCTGCCAAACAAGAGGCTACTCGGGTGCAAGCAGCCGTCAAGCAGGAGTCGGTGCGGCTCCAACAAGAAACCAACCAGTTGTTGATGAGCCAGGTGGCCCAGGACAGGGCCACCCTGCAGGAGGTGGTGAGCCAGCTGAAAGCCCTGATGGTCCAGGTACGTGATCAAGATGGGGCCCGACCCTTACGGGCTAATTTCTACTTATGAAAAGTGATGAAAGATGGTGATGTTGAGGCCTATCTGTTGGCCTTCGAAAGGGCAGCTTTGCGGGAGGCCTGGCCTTTAGCTCAGTGGGCCAGCGGGGAAGCCCAGAAGGCGTACCTCGAGATGGCAGAGGAGGCCGCCTCCAACTACCCCCAGCTAAAAGCTGAGATCCTGGCATGGGCAGGGGATGCAGCCACTGTGAGAGCCCAGAGATTTTACGAATGGAGCTATCGAGACGACCAAGGCCCCAAAACTCAGTCATTTGACCTGGTCCATCTGGCCCGGAAGTGGCTGCAGCCCAACATCCACAACCCCGAAAAGATTATCAAGGTGATCGTCCTTGACAGGTACATGCGGGGCTTACCCCCAGACCTACGGGAGTGGGTGAGCCAGAATGACCCCACAACATTTGATGAACTAGTGGCTCTTGTCGAGAGACGATTGACTGCTAAGGGACTTTCCTGCAGCCCCCGGGTCGAGGTGCAGTGTAGCAGAAGGTCCACCTTCACTTCGAGGACCCGTGCCCCTGAAGTTTCTGACCGAGTCCAGACAGGAAGAAAGGAGGCAGAAGAGCGACAGGAGTGGGCAAAAGACCTTGGGGGCTGGACTGGAGAGGGCAAGGGATCAAGACCCAACAGCCCAAAGTGAAGGGGGCCGTCCCGCCCAGGTTATAGGTGTTATGCCTGTGGGGAGATAGGGCACTGAACTGCAATATGCCCTAACGTAGAAGAGCCTATGCAATGTGACCTGGGGAACCTACAAGACGTTAGTGTCCTAGTCAACCTTGCAGGGGTGGCAGTGGGCCCCCATCAATATACCCAGCCCATGAAAATGAATGGGGTGGAAACCACCACCTTAGTAGATTCCGGGAGTGCAGTTACGTTGGTCTTGGGGAAGGTAGTGGGGGAGGACCAGCTGACCTGAGCCAAATGCACTGGGATATCTTGTGTACACGGGGATACTAATTATTACCCCACCATCCCTGTGGAAATAGAAGTACAAGAGCAGGTCACAGAGGTAACTGTGGGGGTGGTCCCGAGGCTCCCCTATCCGGTGGTCCGAGACTTCCCCAGGTTTAGTGACCTGCTGCCACGGGACTGGGTAGAGGAGGATAGCTTCCTCCCAGCCTTCCATGAATAGCCCAACAGGCCTATTACAACTGGCGAACAACCTGGAAGTTCCAGGTGGGAGACCAAGTGATGGTGCTAGTACCGACAGCGGAGAGTAAGCTCCTAGCCCAGTGGCCGGGGCCGTATGAAGTAATAGAAGCAGTGGGAGAGGTAAAGCTGAGCAAATATATCATGTCAACATGCTGAAACCTTGGCAAGACAGAGAAGTGGCCTTGGTTGCACTGGGGCCACCACCCCAAGGGGAAAACCCACAAAGGCAAGTGGGAATATCTCCCGAGCTGACCCCGGACCAACAGGCCAGAGTAGTCGACATGATTGAGCAGAATCAGGATGTGTTTTTGACAGAACCTGGGAGAACTACGGAGGTTTACCATGACATCATTGCAGACTGCGGGGTGAAGGTGCACATTACACCATACCCAAGGCAAAACGAAAAGAGGTCCAAGCTGAAGTTGAGAAAATGCTGAAGCTCGGAGTCATTGAAGAGTCACATAGCCAGTGGTCTAGCCCTATTGTGATGGTACCCAAGCCAGATGGAAGCCTTCGCTTTTGCAATGGCTTTCAGAAGTTAAACGAAGTATCTCAGTTCGATGCCTATCCCATGCCATAGGTGGATGAACTCATTGACCAACTGGGCAAGGCCCGATTTATATCCACCCTTGATTTGACCAAGGGCTACTGGCAGATCCCCCTAGCACCAGGGGCCAAAGAAAAGACTCCGGAGGGTCTCTTTCAATACACGGTTCTCCCTTTTGGTTTGCATGGGGTTCCTGCAACGTTTCAAAGGCTCATGGATAAGCTGTTGAGGCCACATGCCAAATACACGGCTGCCTATTTGGACGACGTTGTCCACAGTCCTGACTGGGACACACACCTTGAAAATGCAGAGGCAGTATTGGAGACGTTAAGAAGAGCAGGACTTACGGTGAACCCCGCAAAGTGTACAATTGGGCTGGCCAAGGCCAAGTATTTGGGTATATTGTGGGAAGGGGGGTAGTGAGGCCCCAGTTCAACAAAGTGGACGCAATACAAATTGGCCCCGACCAACCCGAAAGAAGCAGGTCAGGGCATTCTTAGGGTTGGTTGGATATTACCGCAGATTCATCCCGAACTTTGCCTCCAGGGCCTGCCCTCTGACCAATGTGACTAGAGCTCGTGGTCCTGACATTGTAAAGTAGACCACAGAGACGGAAGAAGCTTTTAAGGATCTCAAGAATGCCCTCTGTGGCGATCCAGTTCTCATAGCCCCTGATTTTAAGGAGTTTATCCTGCAGACTGATGCCTCGGCAGCAGGACTGGGGGTAGCTTCTGCCCAGGGAACAAAACTATGCCATAGTTGAAAGGGAATGTCTCGCAGTAAAGTGGGCCATTGAAAGCCTTCGCGTCTACCTCCTTGGGCGGAAGTTTACCTTGGTCACCGATCATGCACCTCTACAGTGAATGCACCGAAACAAGGACAAGAATGCGAGGGTGACCTGGTGGTTCCTGTCCCTGCAACCCTTCCACTTCATTTCATATTTAGCTAGAAGCCATCTTGTATAACAGAAACCAGTTCAGCTTTTGTGCTTTAGCA